TTCGGGCCCCGCTCGTTCCGAATCGTGCTCCCGCTGCAGCGTTGGCCTCATTTCCGTGCTTCCGCTCGTTCCGAATCGTGCTCCCGCTGCAGCGCTGGCATCAGTTCCGCGCTTTCGCTCGTTTCGACTCGTGCTCCCGCTGCAGCGCTGGCGTCATTTCCCGTGCCATGCCACAGCACACGCGCACACACCACACACACACACACACCACCACCACCACCACCACCACCACCACCACCACCACCACCACCACCACCACCACCACCACCACCACCACCACAACCACGCACACACGCACGCACGCACGCACGCGAACCACCACCCACTACGCACGCGCGCGCGGAGCCACAGGTCCGCTACTACACGCGTCCGCGGATAGAGAAAATCAGCGCCATGGCACCATGGTAAGGGATGGGAGGGAGGGGTAGGACGTCAGGTATGACGCGAGCGCACCTAGCTTGTCTGAATACTACTCTCCCTCTTCCCCCGATGGCGGCCTGAAAGTAGCCGACCCCCCCCGCGTCCTGCTTTTTTACACACAGGATTCCCGGGAGTTGGGTTTTCGCCTGCAATTTTTTCAAAATGCTGCTCTCGCCGAGGCGCCGGCCTCATTTTCGGGCCCCGCTCGTTCCGAATCGTGCTCCCGCTGCAGCGTTGGCCTCATTTCCGTGCTTCCGCTCGTTCCGAATCGTGCTCCCGCTGCAGCGCTGGCCTCATTTCCGCACTTCCGCCCGTTTCGACTCGTGCTACCGCTGCAGCGCTGGCGTCATTTCCCGTGCCATGCCACAGCACACGCGCACACACGCACACACACACACACCACCACCACCACCACCACCACCACCACCACCACCACCACCACCACCACCACCACCACCACCACCACCACACCAGCCACAGCACCACCACCACCACCACCAACCACGCACACACGCACGCACGCACGCACGCGCACCACCACCCACTAGTCCGCGGATAGAGAAAACCAGCGCCATGGTAAGGGATGGGAGGGAGGGGTAGGACGTCAGATATGACGCGCACGCACCTAGCTTGTCCTCCTCCTCCTCCTCCTCTTCCTCCCCCTCCCCCTCTCCTCCTCATCCTCCTCCTCCTCCTCCTCCTCCCCTCCTCCTCCTACTCCTCCTGCTCCTCCTCCACCTCCTCCTCCTCCTCCTCCTCCTGCTCCTCCCCCTCCCCCTCATCCTCCTCTTCCTCCCCCTCCCCCTCCTCCTCTTTCTCCTCCTCCTCCTCCTCCTTCTCCTTCTCCTCTTCCTACTTCCCTCCTCGAGTCGCCTACGGCCCCAGGGGAAATCGTCCACCTCGAGGTTGTCCGCGGGGAGCTTCTCCATTGGAAGTCCAGTGCCGAGCAGCCACATGCCGGAGACCAATGATGGGAGTTCCGTTCCGGACGCCGTAGAGACGATGAGGAGCTCGAGAAGGGAGAGTGGGGATTCTTTCGCCACATCGGTCTCCGCGGCATTCGCCTCCGCCGGCGCAGTTGTCCGTAATTGCCTAAGACGCGACACGGAGCAGATGTCGGAACAAAGACCCACGACACCACAAAACGACAGGAACAGTTATTGGAGTTGGTTGTCTTTGAAGGAAACGATGAAGTTCAGTAATGAAGTGAAAAGGTCGACGGCAAGGAAGTCCTCTCGCCGGTCGACTTCAGTAGATTTGCAGAAATTGCAGCAGAAGCCTTTGGCCGATTTTGTGAAGAGTCGCTATTTTGCTATGGGTTCCGCACTTGTGATCATCATGAGCACCGTGTTGATTGGCATTGAGACCCAGATTTTTTCTAGCCTGTCCCACCAGGGGTCAGACTCGAAGCACCTCGCGATGGCCCTATCGGCAGCGAATTACTTACTCACTTTGGTGTTCGCGGTGGAGGTGCTCATGCGAATATACGTGCTAGGAATCATGCACCCAGGCGACAGGGTGTGGAACTGCTTCGACATTGCAATCCTGCTCCTGGCGCTGGCCGAGATCGCTCTGGAGCTTGTGGTGCTCGCGATCTTGGGCAAGGATCATAACCTCTTCGATGGCGGTGGGATGGCGAAGATGCTGCGCCTGTTTCGCCTTACTCGGCTTCTCCGAATCATCCGGACGTTTCGCCAGTTGAAGCCGCTGCGTGTGCTGGTGCATTCCATAGCATCCGCTGGCAAGTCCGTGTTCTGGGCCCTCATGCTTCTCTTCATGATCATATTCTCCTTTGGAGTGATCTTGACTCAGGCTGTGTCTGAGCATACCGAAGGTGGCACGCGAGTCGATGACGATGATCTAGTTTCGTACTACGGAGACCTCTTACGGTCAATGCTCAGTCTTATGATGGCTGTGTCCGGAGGTATCAGCTGGCATGAGTTAACAGCGCCGCTGCAGGGAACTGGAAACATTGGGTGGATGTTCCTATTTCTGGTTTACATTACATTCGTGTACTTCTTTGTGCTGAACGTTGTGACAGGTATGCTTGGTTGTCGTTGGAAATATCCAGGGCACTTTTCGTCTTGTGAGCCATCAGCGTAGACATGAAATTTGTCTAGCACATACTAGCGCAGCCAGAAACTGCTTAGACGTGTCAATGAAAGCTGTTGTGAACGAACTATCAACACACGTTTTGGTGAACGTTGGAACGACAGGCACACCTTCTACAGGAAAAGCAACCATTGCTAGCATACGAAATGTTTAGTTAAAACGGCGCATTGACATCATTTTGCAGATTACTCACACAGACAAGTTTGTCCATATGGTCCCAGGGAGGCCAGGGTGAGCCGGCAGAAGACGAGCATGAAAACTACAAAAGCACGTTCCACCCGTTGACGAAGGGAATGATTCAAAACGCGTTGCGTTGCGTAGACCCAAGAACTATTTTTCACATGTGAGTTAGAAACAATGTTCGCCAGCGTGGGCCCGGTGTACCCCGAGCAGTGAGGTATCGCGAGTGAAGGTGAAAACTGTGCGTTGCAAGCTGTGGTGTGCAAGTTATATGGCGTAAGTTATGCCGTGTAACATGTGTGGTTTAGGCTATGTGGAATGTAGGTAGTGCGAGTTGGATGTGAACATTGCTGTACAAACTATATGTCGTGCGAGCTATGCAGTGTAAACTATGTGGTGTAAGCCATGCGGTTTAAGCTACGTAGTGTACGCTATGCGGTGTAAGCTTTGTAAGACCCACCCCACAAGCGCCCACGAGGCGGCATAGCACAGGCGGCAACGCAGCGCGACCTCGGCGGACCTACCAGCAACGTGGCGCAACCTCAGCGGACCCACCTAGCGCACGGAGCGCCCACGAGCGCTCACGAGGCGGCGCGGGCGGCAACGCGGCGCAATTTCGGCGGACCCACCCAGCGCACGGGGCGCCCACGAGCGCCCACGAGGCGGCACGGGCGGCAACGCGGCGCAACTTCGGTGGACCCGCCCAGCGCACGGGGCGCCCACGAGCGCCCACGAGGCGGCGCGGGCGGCAGCGCGGCGCAACTTCGGTGGACCCACCCAGCGCCATTAGAGTCCCCCACAGGTCCCCGGACACGTCCGCAAAACATTTCGGGCAGGTCCCCGAGACACCCAGGACACTTCGGACACGTCCCCAAGACATCCTGGACACGTCTCCTGGACACCCCGGACATCCCGGACACGTCGCCCGGACACCCCGGACACCGCGGACACGTCCCCCGGACACCCCAGACACCCCGGACACCTCAGACACCTTCGTCGTCGTCGTCGTCGTCGTCCTGTTCCTCCTCCTCCTCCTCCTCCTCCTCCTCCTCTTCCTCCTCCTCCTCCTCCTCCTCCTCCTCCTCCTCCTCCTCCTCCTCCTCCTCCTCCTCCTCCCTCTCTTCCTCCTGATCATCATCATCTACATGCGTCACCATCATGTCTCACGATCACCATCCTACTATCGCCTTTTCATCGTCGTCCTCCCCCGCAGCCTTCTCGCCCGCATCCTTTGGTTTCCTCATCATGCTCTTCCTGACGCCTCATCATCCGATGGAGGTGGCCGCCCGGGCACAACCTGGAGTATTTTTTCACGCATCACGGTTGGGGCGTCACGACTGCATGGTTTCGGCAACACACGCAACGGATGGCATGGCAGCATGCGGCCTTCAGTTCCGAGGCGGAAGTGCATCGCGCGGCGGCCGCGCGCGACGGCACCGAACAGCGAATCCCCAACAGGACTGACCTCAAGATCAAGACATGTTGGTTCATGTGGCGCATCGTCGCGCGCGATAGCCAACGCCAATCCACGATGCTGCGCCCGCAAGTGGCCGACATCAACCTGACGGGGGGGCTCCAGTCCGAGATCCGCAAGATCTGGTCTTGGTGCCCGGACTTCATGATGCATCGCCGAATCGGCGCTCTGGTGGCAAAGGGCACCCCCGTCAACGCCGCTGTCATTGACGGGGGCGCCAAATTGTGCCGCCGCTCCTGCGGTCGCCCGGTGGCGGAGCTACTCCACTGTTCTCACTTGAACCGCTACGGCGCCGTAGACTGTTCGCTGAAGCCGCGCCGCCGCCAGAGGCGATGCCTCAAGCATTGCGGCGGCGGCCCAGGCGGCGGCCCAGAGCAATCCGAGGTCACTATCGCACACCAGCGCCGCCGGCTCCTGCAGGAGACGTCAGAGGCGGAACCGCGCGACGTGTGCTTGGTGGACAAGACGAGGCGGGAGGAGCCTTCGGTGCCCAGGAGGTGGGCCCCAGCGGGCTGGGTGGCGCCGTGCCAGCTGCAGGAGTACTGGGCGGCCGGCTTGGAGACCGCCGGCTTCGTGCCGACGAACTCGACCGCGCAACGGTGGGACAGCACCCAGTGCCGCACGCACAAGGAGAGGGAGCAGCGTGGGGGCGAAGAGAACCTCTCGCAGAGGCGGATGGCTCTACGCCTGCACGCCCACCGGCTACATCCTTCACCTCAAAGAATACATAGGCGCCGAGAGCTTATCCCAGAGGTATTTCTCTCTTGCGGAACTCGTGCACGCGGCGCCGGAGCTGACTCTCGTGATTGACGACGATTCGTGCCACTTGCGGAAGTTCTGCGACACGTATGCGAACACGAGCGCCGCTGCCCAGCGGTTGGCGTTCCCGAGCATCAAGTATGTCATCGACCATGTGCATTCTCGTGGGCACGCGGACCCCTGGTGCCTCGAGAACTGCGTGGCTGGCGCCGAGTGCAACCAAGATCTTCTCGAGGGAGTCAACGCGTTCGTTTGCGAGCAGACCTTCCGCCGCCTTGGCCGGCATAAGTTCGCCATCCGCTGGATGGACCGTCTGACTTCCGTTATGTTTTTGCAGGAAATGGCGGATGTGCGCAACCAGCGTTGGCTGGCCAAGAACTAGAGTGCCCGAGTGGCCGACGCGACGTCCGCTGATGCGTCAGACGCGTCGTTCCTCATGATCTGCTGTGCGCAATTGCTTTGGACCTCTAGCATTGGAATTCCGCAATTTATCGGGCGACCTGCGCGCGCTACCGGACGCGTTAGGTATGATTCTGGACCCCGGCATTCGCCGGGACACGCCCAAAATTATGACCGCGCTCAACCTTGTCCTCTTCGTCGTCGCCCCCGGCGTCGTCGCAATCGCCGTCGTCGTCGCCGTCCGCGTCGTCGTCGTCAACGTCGTCGTCGTCGCCGTCGCCGCCGCCGCCGCGGCCGCCGCCGCCGCCGTCGTCATCCGCGTTGCCCCCGACCACGCGTGGATGCACCGTTGTCGCGCATGCGATTGCTGTGCGGCGTGTGCGTTCACATGTGAACGACGTTGCGTCCTGCCTGCTGGTGCTTTGCAGGAGTTGCAGCGATTTGGAAACGCAGCGGGGAACCGCCTCTGGAGGCCCAAAGAGGGCCACGAACACCCCAAAATCTCGATACACATTTAGAAGATTATCCAGTTGCCTGCGGCAAGTCCCGTCACCATGCCAGTCCCCCCATCTCTCCCTCCCTCCACTCGCCCACCCTGCTATTCTCCCTTCTTGCGCCCTTTCTCCCTTTCATCTCCTCCCCCGCCCCCGCGCATCCTCTTCTCCTCGTCGACGGGCCCCGCAGAAAGTTGTGGGCGAGTTGTTGTGTTCTGCTTATGGCCAGCATTGACAGCCCAGCCGGTTACGCAGAATGGGGCTATCTGGCGTGCTTATGAGTAGCTCTCAAGTTGAGGCCAGGCGTTTGGGTGTTTCAGGAGATTCACACCACGCTACAATGCCCGCCCCCCTTTGATCCGGGTGCGCCACGCGGGTCAGGCCCCCGATTCGCTGGAAGCTACTACGTCGCATCCCGCGTTGCATCTGAGGCAGCCCCCTGGCTCGAGCTGGGCCGTGCTCACTTCGGACCCCCGCGCGCCACTTGAGACAGCCACGTCTGGCGAGTTGGCTGCGGGTCATCGGGCGCTGCCCGCGTGCGACAGGGGGCCGCGGTTCCTCGCGCGCCAGGAGATATTCGAGAAGTGCGCGTTCCACCGGCTTCAGTTCTTGCGGCGGCTCCACGCTGGAGAGGCCAACCCCGACGAGGTGGTCGCCGCGGTCCAACTTGTGGACCCCCTGGCCGACGCGGCGGGCCACTCTCGGCTGCGCCTGGCGCTGTGCTCCGCACCGGCCACGAGAGAGTGGCTGGTGACGCGCGAGGGGGCTATCCTCGCGCGCCGGCGGGCGCGCGCGGTCAAAACCGACCGCGACCGCGCCCTTGCGCCGCTGGGCGCGCAACGATCGGACTCTGGGCGTTTCGAATGCATGATGCATTTCACCGAGGTGCCCCCACGTCTGTTGCCCGAACGTCGCGTAGTTCTCCGCGGTACCTTATTGCTTCGCTCGACACTCGCGCGAATCACTGCTGTCGGCCGCAGTCGCCGCGACGCAGGAGGCGCACCGGGCGCAGTTGGAGTGCGCGCGGCCCCTGCTACAGAGTCTCAAGGGTTGTTGCGAGGAGCTCCCGGCGAGGGCCCCGGCGACCGCAGGGCCCGCGGCTGGAGTCGACGGCAGTGCCGGCACGGACTTGCGGCTGGGAAGCTTCGAGATGATGTTGCGGGAGTCTTTCCCGCCCTGCATGCGGCACCTCGCGCTCCACCAGCGCAGCGGGGTGCACCTGCGCTTCCAGGGCCAGCTTCAACTGAGGCCCTTCCTGTGCAAGGCTGGCGCGCCGCCTCCAGACGCACCGATGCGGCGGGAGACGGAGCTCCGCCGCGACGCGGAGGTCACCGCGGAGATCTTCGGTCGCAAGTATCGGCATCAGGTGGAACGCGCCCATGGCGCACGCGGCAGGGGCGCGCCCATTCGGTTGCGCGGCCATCCAGAGGTTCCCGGCCCCCGAGGCAGGACAGGCTCACGGTTGCCCCCTCCGGCGCGGCCACGAGGGCGGCTACGCGCCGCCTCTCCTGCCGGCTCGCTGGGGCCTGGGCCCGCGGGGCGCCGGCGCGGCCATTCGCGCGGCGGAGGACGGGGCCCCGCCCGCCGCGTGCGCGGCGTTCTCCCGCGCGCCCCGTCCGTGGGCAGCGGGGCGCCAGCGCGGCGACGTCCGGCGCCCGAATGAGCACTTACGCCAGAGCCGGCTGTCTATCGCGGCGCGCCGCTGAGATGCGCCAGCCGCCCGGCCTGCACCCAGCGCCGCGCCGCTTGGGGCGTTTTCCCGCAATGCCCGAGCTCTTCCAGGTTGCATTTGGGGCTCGGCATTTCCGGGGGCCCACCGACGGCACAAACGCTCGCCATCTTTAGGTCGAAGCTGCAGCTCGCCCGTCGCATTTTGACCGGCGCTCCGCTCTTCCTCCCCCGGGCTTCTCGCCCCCGTCAGTTTCCCCCCCCTCGTCTGCGTCCGCGCCTTGCCCTTCTGATGCCATCTGCCCCCTTGTCTCTGCGCGACTCAGTGAAAGATTATGGCGGTCATCTTCCCCGTTGGTTCTGCAGGGCGCAGCGAAGGAAACTACCGGGTTCCCGCGCTGCCGTCGCCCGACGAGCCTCGGCGTCGCGTTGGGCGCGCCCCCCCCCGCTAATTACGGCGGGGCCCGCTCGTGGGGCAAAGTTCCCGCGAGGTATGAATTCAATTGTTTTTGCACTTCCACCTTGCGAACTTTGCATTGAATTCTAGTTGGGTTTCTCCCATTCTCCCCTCCGCCGCCCTCCTCTGCAGTTCCTCTTCCCCTCTCCTCCCGCCCCCCTTACTTCGCGGCGTGCTCGCGCGGGGCATTGGTGCGCGTGCCGATTTTTAAAGGCCTCCGCGCCCGCGGGCATTCGCCCTCTTGCTTTTCTTGCGTTTTGGGGAAATGAATAGCTGGGTATATATGTAGATGTGGGGCGCGCCTCGGGGCCTGCCCGCAAAGCGTTGCGCGGTTCGCTTCGATTTGCCCTCCCAGCCTCCGTGTCCAACAGTTTGTCGGCGAAGGCCGCGCGCTGGCTCGGGCGGCGCGGCGCTCGCCATTCGTTCCGCTGCCGCGCGACGCGGCGCAGCACTGCTTCGATAATGCGCTGTCATATTGCTGCGGTAATGAAAAAATGCTCGATTGCGCGCTCCATTCTACTGTCCCGACCGCTGGCCCCCACCCGCGCGTTGGCCCGCCCCGCCCGGCTCGCTCGTCGGTGCCCCGCCAGCCAGACCCCACCTGTCCTCCCAAGTTCTCTTCGTATTCCATGAGGCCCCGCACTTTAATGCCCTGCCTGCCCGACCCCACCCGCCAATTCCACCAGTAGTCCTCGTCGACCTACTGTTCGGGAACCACCGGGGCCTCCGCGGCCCTGCAAAAATAAACCATGGACAGAGATTGTTGCGCTGCTGCTGGCAGAAAACCAAGGAGGGGGTCACCCTTCAAAAAAAAACCGAGAAAGCGAGGGCCCCCCCGGAAAACCGGGGGGGGTCACGACCCCCCCCTTTTATTCGCCGCCGGCCAAGGACTCCCCCCCCCCTCCCCGCCCCCCCCCCTCCCTCTCTCCCTCCTTCCCCCCCCCCCCCTCATTCACCCCTCCCCCCCTTCCCCCCTACGACGACGACGACGACGACGACGACGACGACGACGACGACGACGACGCGACGACGACGACGACGACGACGACGACGACGACGACGACGACGACGACGACGACGACGACGACGACGACGACGACGACGACTACGAAGACGACGACGACGACGACGTCGACGACGACGACGACGACGACGACGACGACGACGACGACGACGGCGGCGGCGGCGGCGGCGGCCGATGCGGCGACGGCGACGACGACGACGTCGACGACGACGACGATGGCGGCGGCGCACGGCGAACCACGACGACGACGTCGACGACGCAACGCTTCATGTAAGGTCCCGCCCGCCCACCCGACTCAATTCCCCATTCCTGAGTGAATGTTGCATTTCATGTCCCGCCCGCCCGACGGCTCCACCATACTTTCTCCCAACCTTGTCCCATGCCAGAGTGAAGGTTACATTTAATGTCCCGCCCGCCCGACCGAACGCCCCACCCCTGAGTGAAGGTTGCATTTAATGTCCCGCCCGCCCGACCGAACGCCCCATCCTTGAGTGAAGGTTTCATGTAATGTCCCGCCCGCCCGACCCGCGTTTTCGGCGGTTGTAACATTATTTCTTTTTGCCCTGGCGCATCACACAGTGAAGGTTACATCAAATGTCCCGCCCGCCCGACCGGCCGCCCCATCCCTCAGTGAAGGTTTCGTTTAATGTTCCGCCCGCCCGACCGGCGTTTTCGGCGGTGGCGATATATCCCGCCCCAGCCTTATCTTATCACAGAGCCGATGTTAGATGTTCTGTCCCGCCCGCCCGACCGAACGCCCCACCCCTGAGTGAAGGTTGCATTTAATGTCCCGCCCGCCCGACCGAACGCCCCATCCTTGAGTGAAGGTTTCATGTAATGTCCCGCCCGCCCGACCCGCGTTTTCGGCTGTTGTAACATTATTTATTTTTGCCCTGGCGCATCACACAGTGAAGGTTACATCAAATGTCCCGCCCGCCCGACCGGCCGCCCCATCCCTCAGTGAAGGTTTCGTTTAATGTTCCGCCCGCCCGACCGGCGTTTTCGGCGGTGGCGATATATCCCGCCCCAGCCTTATCTTATCACAGAGCCGATGTTAGATGTTCTGTCCCGCCCGCCCGACCGAATGCCCAATCCCAAGGTGAAGGTTTCGTTTAATGTCCCGCCCGCTCGACCGGCGTATTCGGCGGTTGCGATATATGTTCATCAAGCCGTGTCCAATCACATGGTGAAAGTTACGTTCGATGTCCCGCCCGCCCGCCCGACGGATCTCCCCCAAAATGCCATGTCTGAGTGGCGGTTCCATTTCATATCCCGCACGCCCGACCCGCGTCGTCGGCGGTTGTAGCATCGTTTTTTCGTACCTTGGCCAATCATGAAGGCTACATTTAATGCCCCGCCCGCCCGACCGGACGCCCCATCCCTGAATGAAGGTTTCGTTTAATGTCCCGCCCGCCCGACCTGCGTCTTCGGCGGTTGCGAGATCTGTTCCTAAAGTTTTGTCCCATGACAGAGGGAAGGCTACATTGGATGTCCCGCCCGCCCACCCGACTGAACTCCCCATTCCTGAATGACGGTTGTATTTCCCGTACCGTCCGCCCGATCCATCACATAATATTGAAGGTTACATCCCATGTCCCGCCAGCCCCACTGAACGCCCCATCCTTTGGTGAAGGTTTACGGCCTTGCGGCCGGTGCCGCCGACCCGGAAAGACGACGACGACGACCCAGGCCCTGGGACCGTCGAGAGACGGCTTGACGACCCAAGCCCCGGAGGCAGCAGGGGGGAGTAGGAGGCGGAGGAGGAAGAAGAGGAGGAGCAGGAGGAGGAGGTGGAGGAGGAGGAGGAGGATTAGGAGGAGGAGGAGGTAGGAGGAGGAGGAGGAGGAGGAGGAGGAGGAGGAGGAGGAGGGAGGAAGAGGAGGAGGAGGAGGAGGAGGAGGAGTTGGAGGAGGAGATCCCGGAGGCCCCGGACACCCCAGACACCCCGGACACCCAAGACACCCTGGACACCCCGGACACCCCGAAAACGCCGGACACGCCAGACACCCCGGACACCCCGGACACCCCAGACACCCCGGACACCCCGGACACCCCGGACACTCCGGACACGTCCCCCGGACACGTCCCCCGGACACGTCCCCCGGACACCCTGGACACCCCGGACACCCCGGACACCCCGGACACCCCGTACACCCCGGACACCCCGGACACCCCGGACACGCTGGACACCCTGGACACCACGGACACCCCGGACACCCCGGACTTGTCCCCCGGACACCCCGGACACCCCAGACACCGGACCCACAGAGGATCCCCAGCGCACGTGGCCCCCACGAGGAAGCGCGGACGGCAACGCGGCGCTCGGCGGACTCACCCAGCGCACGGGGCGCCCACCAGCGCCCACGAGGCGGCGCGGGCGGCAACGTTGCGCAGTTTCGCCAGGCCTACCCAGGAGCCCCCAACGAGGCGGCGCGAGCAGCAATGCGGCGCCTTCTCAGCGGCTCCGTTTACTTCAGTAGAACGGGCGAGGACCCCACATGTGCAAGCAATGTTTGGCCCACATATAACGAAATCCTGCGTGATCTGACGTTCCGCCTCCGTATCCTCTGCCGTTGTTGCCGCCGCTTTTTTCGGTCCTCAATTCCTGTCGCGCTTTCCTTTCCGTGCACGTTAAGTTTGACCCAATGATTGATTACCGCACCGCGCGCTGTATGGCGGGCCTGTGATCGAGTCTCTGGCCTTTCTCGTCCCCTGAGCGTTTTCGTGCCCGCTTGGGTTATCGGCGGTGTTCGCGCCGTGGGAGATATACACATGCCTCCAGCGTCTCTTCTCGTTTTTTCTCTTCCTCCTCCTCCTCCTCCTCCTCCTCCTCCTCCTCCTCCTCCTCCTCCCTCCTCCTCCTCTCCCCTCTTTCCTCCCCCCGTAGCCGATCCTTTTTGACTTCTAACACTTGACAGGTTCTTGATATGCACCCCTTTTCATTGGGGCTGCGGATCTACATTGCGATCTAGGTTCACGTGGCTCGTGATGCCAACGACACGCGCGCGAGTCATGCTGATATTGCGGGGAAAACGGACCACTCCCGCGACTAAAGAATCGCCCTGAGTGTTTCCAACAACCGCTATGTAGGTGTGTTCTGCCAGAATGCGATCGAAGGGGCTCAACAGGATCTGGATCTTACAATTGAGGCGCAGCTCAGGGAGAAGCAGGTATACGCGGACCGCCTCAAGCTGCTTTTCGAGGAGATGAACCAGGATTGCGATCCTGAAGAGGGGCTGACAGCGGCCGATATAAACGAGCAGATGGAGAAGCCCAAAGTGCAGTCGTTTTTCAAGGCCGACACTCAAGATATGGGCCCCCAGAATTCTCGACCCATCCCTACCCCAGATCTTGGGGCCAGGATCGATGGTCGATGCGACTTCCCAGCCTCGTCACGAAGGCACATCGTAGACGCTCACTGTGAGGCACTGCCGTCCCCTGCCTTTTGGACACGCTTGTGCCATGAGATGTCGTGCGAAAGTGCGGCCCAGGTACAGTCAAGACGCTGAAACA